TAAAAAAAAATTTTATATATATATATATATATATATATATATATATATATATATATGTATGTGCACACACACAGAGAATACTTTTAGCTTACATTTGACATAACGGGAATAGGGAGAATCAATAAATTATTAATCATTTACTGTCATTGTGTAAATAATTTGTAATCTTGTAATCCATAAAGTAACTGTAATCTGATTATGAACATTTACACAGAAATATGTTTTATTATATTAAAAAGTATTTATAACATGAACATCAACTTGCATTTTCTAAATACAATATTATAAAATACTGTTATCCAGTAAATAAAAATAACTCTCTGTAATTGGCTGCAAAGTCAGTAAACTATTTGTTAACGGGCCGAGCCTTTAAAGTTCAAATTACGGCGTTAGACTCGGCTACCTCATCAATCTTTTACCGTTTCATTATGAGCGCCTCTTCTGGCCGCGGCTTGCTAAATTATTTACCATAAGGTACAAACCAAAACAAAACGCAGAGAAGTTGCGTCTAAGAAACTAGACAAATAACAACAAAGTGACACTGAAAAACAAACAGAGCTGAATGTTACGTCTGAGACATGGTTTATTTTTATACTCGCATGTTTATTTGTACAAGTTTGTTTTTATTTAAAACGCATTGGGAATTTCTAGCCACTTTTAACTTTCAAAATTTTCAAAAACGTATTTAACTAATGTTGTTACACAAGAAATATCTGGCACAAAATAGTTGGTATGCTAGTTTGTGTTTTAGGTATTCCCACCTGTGCTTCCTCACTCCGTTCACTCTGGCCACCTCATCATCGTCCTCTTCCTCTCCACGACGGTCATCCCGGGACATCCTGCTGCTGAGATTACTTGAGATGCTGCAGTAGAGCTCAGACTTGAAGTCCTCTCCGTCTTCGTACAAATGGCCGGCTGTCTCACAACCACTCAGCGAGGGCTCAGAGTCCGAATCTGCGGCAACAGAGTGCAAACAGACATGGCTTATAGGGACAATGAGCGGCCGACAGCAACAGGCTCTCGTAGGAAACCTGAGCAGGGGATCAGGTGGCGTTTAATGGAACCGCTCAGTCGGAAGTGACCGGACACATCCCTAAGAAAGGTGCCTCAAACTTATGAAGCTCATTCTGAAGATTTACTTGTTACTGTAACAGCAATTACACTGCAGGCTCTGATATGGCTTTTACATGGGCTTTTAGTCCATAATTATACTGTGCACCATGGATAACATACGAAAAATGATAATCAGGATGTGATAATCTTACATTTATATACTTGTATAATTGAAAACTCATAAAACGTAAACGGTGACATTGTTGAGCTTTGGTGCTCATGTGGGAAACACAGGTTTGAATTCGATCTACAGTATGTGGTTTTCTGATCACATTTTCTGTATCTCCTTTTGTACATCTGAAAACGTTACAGAGATTTGTATATTTTATAATTAAAATGCTACAAGTAAATGAGACATTACCTTTATTCATTTTAACTCATATCTAATGTTTAAATGACCGTATATCCTTTCTCTTTCTACTACTGTATCTGGACAATAAAAAGGCAAAAGTCCATAATTAAAAAATAAAATAAAATAAAGTCAAGTCAAATAAGATACTTGGGCAAATTCTTCAGTGTAATTATTCAAAGTGTTCTGGGGTAATATTCAATAATTATTTATAATGTTATGGCTGATATTAAAATATTGTACACTTTACACAACTTAAAAACATACACAAGTTTAACTTAAAAGCATAATAAGTTTATAATAATGCATACATCGTGCTATCACAACAACGTAATGTACAGTAAAAGATTTGAAAAAAAAAAGATTTGTGAAAGATGAAATGTTACAATAGTGTTATTAATTTATTTGTATTTTTAAAGATTAATTTTAAGTAAGTGTTAGATGACAGAAAGTACACTACTGTTCAAAAAGTTGGGGTCAGTAATAATATTTTTGAAAGACGTCTCTTAAGCTCACATTTATTTGGTCAAAAATACAGTAAAATCAGTAATATAGTGAAATATTATTACAATTCAAAAGAACTGGTTTCTATTTAAATATATTTTAAACTGTAATTTTTCCCTGGGAAACAAAGCTACATTTTCAGCATCATTACTCCAGTCTTCAGTGTCACACGATCCTTCAGAAATCATTCTGATATGCTGATTTAATAACATTTCTTATTATTACTGTTGAAAACAGTTGTGCTGTTTAATATTTTTGTGGAAACTAAATTTTTTTCAGGATTGTTTGATGAATAGAAAGTTCAAAAGAACAGTATTTATTTGAAATACAAATCTTTAGTAAAATTAGAAATGTCTTTACTGTCACTTTTGATCGATTTAATACACCCTTGCTGAATAAAAGTAATAGTGTATTTCAAAAACCGACCCCAAACTTTTGAACTGAAGTGTTTGAATGTTTGGCTGTGTTCCTCTCAAGCATACGAACCGGACAGAGCGTCGTAGAACTCCTCTTCGCTGAGGACGCTGCGGGGCGACGATCCTTTGACCACCGACTGCTCCAGCTCATGATGTTCAGTCGCCAGCGTCTGCAGAGCCTCCGACAGGATTTTATTCTTCTCCACTTCATGTTCCAGTTTCAAACTGCGTGCCTGGAAAAACAGACACACTTTAAAATCCACTATATATAGACATATTGTATACTTTCCATGTATTTGTAATCATCAACTATGATTTTACTTGCTGTTTTGATTTTTTTAAAGTAATATTTGGGGGTTTAGCTTCTTTATTTGACAAATATAGGAAATGGGGACATAAAATTGTTAGGGTTAGGAATTCATGATGCAGCCAAATTCAAACCTGTGTAGTCAAAGTGAGCACAGAGGCTAAAAAAAACATTACAAATGCATTAACCACTGTGCCACGGCTCAGTTTTTAGCAGTCGCTTATAATAACCTCTTCAAGTAGCTTCATAGCAATGGATGTGTGCAGTGAAATGAGTACATACTCCTTCCTGTTTGGAAAAAAGCCCCAGACACTGGTGCAGTGACGAGCAGGTTTCACTGGAGGCTTCACAAACCTCCTTCAGCTTCTGAACGATGGCTGCGGGGAATCCTGCAAGAATATAAAAATGCACTGTGGCTTAGCAGATCTGCATATGTGGTTTTGGCCAATCGTTTAAGTTCTTACGTTCGGTCAGGCCATCTTCTTTGACCATGGACAGGAGGGCCAACATCTCTGTCTCCAGTTTCTGATGGCACGCCTCGGCCCGCTGCAAAACAAAAGAGGAACAAGAAAACACATAGAAATAAAAAAGGATATTGTGGAAGAGAAAGGCTAAGACTGTAAGAAAGGGTCAGGGTTAGTCAACTTTACCACTTCCTGTGGTTAGAGCGAAAAGGGAAGTCAGAACTCATTTTCTTTTGAACTGCAGAAATCTATGAGTGTGAGACATATCATAATACTGGCTATTTATAGTCCCTTTCTATGGTGCATAAAAAGTTTAATGAATTATTTTATTAATTTAATATAATAAAAAATTTTTTGTCATTAAATAAAATAAATAATTAAAACTTTTAATTATATTTAAATTCCTGTTATTTTAGTATTCATTTAAGTCCTTTATATATGTATATGTGTGTGTGTGTGCGTGTGTATACGTAAATATGTATGTATATATATATATATATATATATATATATATATAGAAACTATTTACATTTATTTACATGTATATATTTATATTCATATAATTTATATTATAGAAAAATATATTTAATATATAAACATAACATATTTTTCTTAAATATATACATGCATGTGTGTGTACTTATATATACATAATAAATATACACAGTACATACACATATATTATGTTTCAAGTAGACAGTTGCGCCATTATTTTCTGCAAATAATATTAATATTAATTAATTCATATAATGTACTTATGGCATTTTAATCCACATTTTAGAAATATTTATGTATGTATTTTTTCAAACTGTTTTTAATTATCTTAAATATTCTTTAAAAATGAACAAAACATAATTTTCACTGCCAGCATTCATCTTTGTTGTCGTTTATGTAAACAATACAACCTTTTTCATCTCATAGATAACACTGTCACATGATCCAAACAACAACAAAAAATGAATAATTTAATCTTTAATTTTAGTATTACATAGCCTCATTGTCTGTACTTGTAAAATGTCTGTAATATATATTGTAAAGTTTTCAATGTATGTTTAAAAGTTTATATATATATATATATATATATATATACACACACACACACACACACACACACACACACACAGTATTTTTCTCCAAACATTACAATAAAAATTACATTTTCAAATATGTATTTCTTAAATACTTATTTTTCAACTATTTTTTTTATCTGCCAGTAAGTTATTCGTCTTTGTAATAGTTTTTTTGTAAATAATACAACCTTTTTCTGCTTATAAATAATTCTGTCACATGATTAACAGCTCCATAAGGAAGAAAGGATGTGCATTTATCATCAAGATGCGACTTCATCAACAAATCAAGAAGCAGATATCATTTCTCACCTGAAGTGAGTCAGAAAGCTCATGTACAGACACAACGTTGTCTTCCTCTTCCTCGCTGTCTGGGTCTTGTGAGCAGTAATGAGTGCTGAAGGCTGAATGCTCCTCTATGGCCTCCAGCCACCTCTGAACAACAACACACACATTCACACAAACGTACACAACACACTCCGGTCTGGACTACACAACAGAGCTGAAGGGAATCTCACTTTTCTGATGGCTTCGGGGTTGTTCTTCTGTGACACTTTGAAATGGTGAACACTGTTGTCAAAGCACTTGATCGTGAAATAGCTGTTATTTTTCGCTTTAATCTGACAGTTGGAAAGAAAACCTGTTAACAATCCCACAAAACATGAATCAGCATCTTATTCATTTCTATTAATTTCATCAAATCAATCTTACCATGCACTGCGCTTGTGTTAGAGGTTTGCAACCTTGCCGGTGTGTGTTTGAATCTGCATCTGACCTTGATGAGTTAAAAATAGTGAAAAGTTGCCAAAAAAAAATGACAGTTGCCAAATATTTATTTCTGCAAATTTTGAAAAATAAGTTAAGTAATTTTGATACCATTAAAAAGTATTATACATAATGACCTTGATGAGTTACACTACAATAAAAATTAGTTTTCAAGTATTTATTTTTTCAAATTTTGCTAAATTAAGTCTTTTATTGTAGCTAGCTAGTTATTTTTATTACATGTTATGAACTTGATTATTTGAAAAAGGATGAAACTTTACAATAAAAATTAGTTTTCACATATTTATTTCTTCGAAGTTTGCTAAATAACTCTTTCATTTCAGAAATTTGACTGTAATTATATTTTATTATATATTATGAAACTGAGTTAAAAATAAGAAGAATTGTTTTTAATTTAAGCATTTTTGCTATCATTACATTTTATTACATATTATGGATATAATATAAGGATGGAACACACAGTTTTCAAATATTTATTTCTTAAAATACTCCAAAATAAGACTTTAATTTCAGAAATGTTGCTATCATTAAATTATCATATGTTATGACATTGAAATAAAACAAAATGATGAAAATGAATTGAAATGATTAAATGAAACATAAAAATTAGTTTGATTTCCCAAAATGAGTCTTTAAGCAATTATCCTATCATTAGATTTTATTACATATTATGACCTTGATGAGTTGAAAAATATTGTAAATTTACAATTTTACAGTATTTATTTGTTCACATATGAAACATTACAATTAAAATTGAAGATTTAAAATATTTATTTCTGTACATTTTGCTAAATAAGTCTTTCATTTCTGCAATTTTGCTATCATTAAATTCTATTATATATTATACTTTTATTTTAATCAGAGCATCACATTTTTGGAATAGAGGCAGGTACTCACTGTTTAGGGTACCATGACAAGACTCCATCCTGAAGAACTACCCAGTAGGAGCGCCAGCCGAAAAACCTTGAACTCTGAAAAACAGAATACAAAAGAAATGAAAAAAAATAATAATTTATTTTCAAAACATATAGATTTTGATAAAACATACCTTCCAAAGAGGCCCCTCGAACATTTTAACATGTCGTGTCATGCCCTACAGAAATCAAAGTGTTGTAAAAACGAAACAAAATTCACACCACTGTAAATAAGTGTAAAATGAGCAATATATCAGTGTTATGATATGATATGGTGATGGACAAGTTTTTTTAAAAAAATGCATATATTTGTGACATCAGAAATGTCCAGATAAATGAGCCTACTTTCATAACATTTCCAGTAATGATCTGCTTCATTTCTGCATCGTTAGCCAAATCAAAAACAGTCTGATCTGAAAACAAATGAGAAACAAAATGCAAAAATGAACATCAGCATGTTTCAGACAACCACAAAAAGTCAGGTCATTCAAATATTTCATAAATTAAAAAAAAAAAATCATGCACTGTTATTTTGTTTTGTTTATAACATAATGTGTCATATTCATTTCGACATGTACTAAAATAGTAAAAATATGACTGACAGTAACAAACCTAAAACAACGAAAACAACACACAAGTGTACAGCGAACTGAGAAAATATTGGCCTGTGTGCCTGTGTTGAATGCTTTAAAAAAATGATACCGATTTTGTTCTTGATGTTGGGGTTGGCCTTGTGCTGCAGGAGTTTGACGGCACACTGTTTCTGGCCTCTGTAAGCCGCGCAGTGCAGTGGTGTGTTTCCCAACAAGTCCGTGCAATTTATGTCCGGGGGTTTCTTCATGTTTAGCTACATGACGAACCAGAAGATCAGATATTACGGTTTAAAAAAGTAGTTTAGAAACAGAGTAGAACAACAAAGTTCCTCAAAGTAGTTAGCAAGGTTACCAGTCTTGTGAGGGTAGATATGGCTCCTTCTCGCGATGCCTCCAGCAGCTGCTCCTCTAGTTTCCTCTCTTCAGTCCTCTCAGCAGCTAGAGGATCAAAATTCAACGGCAGTAATTTAGGAATCATTCAGCGGACTTTATCCAAAACACATCCAGTACGTTTTCATGCACTTACCCTCCAACATGCTTTTAATCTCAGCACTCTGGGTAATGTCTTTAGGAATCTGGGCCATCCCGTTGATGACAGAAGCGCAAGCGTCGTATTGAAGAAGCAACATTACAACCTCCTAAACAGCCAAATCAGCATTCAGTTAGTATTCAGTGTCCAATCAGTATTCAGCATGCAGGCGAGTAGTTATGTTTGTGAAAAATGAGGCTGTACACATTGATATGGCTCAGCTGTATAACACTGTAGCGTCTGGAATTAATTATTCATATTTCCTGTTGTGAGCTAAATTCGCTACACACTTATGTTAGTGATCAGCCAAACAAAATGATAACAAATGTGCAGAACTGAATTTTAATACAATAATAATGATCATTAGACTACACCAATAAAAATATCTTCTGTTTTTATTTATTATAATAATAATAATAGAGTATACAAATAGTATAATTAAAGTGTTTCATTAAAATGTAACAAATAAATATATATATATATGTATATATACAT